AACACTTCTTTTCTCAGCTGTTCTCTCTCTCTCCTAGATCTGCAGCCCTGCGTAGGTACTATAATCTAATGAGAACGAGTGGGGGAAAATGCTGTAGCTAATGACAGCAGGGATGAGGGGGAACTGAAATGTATGGTAGCAATAAAAGAGATTCAAGTGTCCCATGCCAACAAATGGTACAGTTTTAGTACGCATCTAATGAGGCTTCCCAGAGAAGACCAACGACATGAGTACCATTCACCATATACCAAAGAAAGCCTAGATGGCCCAAGCAAAGACCGGATAATGTCATTTCCTATAGCTCAGCTGACAGCACCACTGCCCTGGCAACCATACTTAAAAGTACATGCCTGCTCCCATTGATCCTTGTTATCAGAGTGCCATCTTGACAACATGTACTCATAAATTTGCACATATGCCTCCCCCAGCTGACAAATGCAGAAACCCTGACATCCATCAGAGTTACAATCTCAGGATCAAGTGCAATGCATAACACAAAGTAGGTGCTTATTTGCTGAATGAGTAAGTAGTGGATGAACAAATGGAGAGATTTTTTTTTTTCCTGAGCTGGTGAGGCATACCTAAACCCTGTTCTGAGTGAAAACAGAGTCCCTCTCATGAGATGTTTATCATCACTGAAGGCCTCTAATGTAACCCTTGAGGCTAGAAAGACAGACTGGCAGACGTTCTGCAACACCCTTTCTTTTTTCTGTGACACACTTGACACAGTATAATTTCTCACTCTAAGAAAATAAGAAGGGAAACAACAGTAATTCAAACAGTCAACAGAAATCAAAGGAAATCATTGTGAAAGCGTCAAGTATATGCTGGAACCCGGCACCTGAGAAACAAGGCCAGTCTCAGCAGGACGGTAAGCAATCATGGTTAAATGAACAATCCTAAGTTAACTGTCCCAACCAAACCATTCTTTCTCTTCTATCTGCCAGAATTGAGTATTCAATTATAAGGAGTTTTTGAAGTATCAGAAAAACATGCAGCATTCTTTAGCACTGGATTGAGAAACACCTTTCTAAACAAGATATAAAACTAGAAATAATTTTAAAACACTAATTTGACTACCTTTTTTAAAAGTGTGAAATTCTATTTGGCAAAACTGCATCAATGTAACACTGAAGTCTAATATCAAATCATATAGCCTAAAAAAAAAATCACACACACACGTCTACATCAATGCAAAGTTCTTACAAGTGACATAATATGGTTTGCTCTGAGGATGAAGATTGTACATAAACTGCAAGTCACTTATCTTCATCTCCAGCTAAGGGTTAAGGATGAGGGGAGATATATTAGTCTAAGCTTTTGGCTACACAGAATAGCCCCCACTTCACACACAAACATTCCTGGCAAGGGTCCAAAAATAAAGAGTCAATCTTATTTTCTTCATGCCCCATTATGGTTGAAATGGTCACTGTGGTTTGAAGCCTAAGTGCTATCTTACTGCCAGCAGACACAAACTACTACTAAACAAAGTGAATACTGCCTGGATTACACTGTGCAAGGTATCGGAATGGCAGACTCAATGATACATATACCCAAAATACATAAAACTGCTAAAAACATTCAAAACGAGCAAATTATTAGCTATTGATACAATATTTGTGGCAAGTCTGGGGCTGCCATATGTGCCCTGACAGTACAGGGAAGTACTCAGAAGGCTTGGCTACCTAGAAAAGGCACAGTGGTCTTAATAAAAGCCACAGTGCCAAAGACAGGACCCTCTCTGATGATCACACAGTTCAGGTTCTCAAAAAGTGGACAAAATAAAATAAAGCTATTTATGAGTCTTTCCTTTCACCCAGACATCATGCTCAGTACTTGCCACCTAACTGTCCAGGCGAAGTTCAGGAAGAGTGCTGCTCTTCCCAGGGTTACCGTAAGGCGAGTGTCTGAGGTGAAGCTAGCACTGGTGTGAGCTCCATCTCCAGCACAGCTCAGTTTCAGACCACAAATGCTCACTCGCTTTTGCCTGGTCTCAGAAAGAGGTGTAGATCATCGCCCACTCCTCACTTTACAAAGTGCCGCCTCTGTCAATGTAACACAGCAAAGCTGCCATCCATACAAAGCATTCAAAACCTTCCATGTGAACCTCAAAACTCAGTTTTCTAAAGAAAACAAACTCCTGAAAATGTAGAACTATGTGCCACCTCAGGGGGTTTGCACTACATGTCAATGTTGACTTACACTCTCAGCGTTACTCACTATGAAACCGTACTATGTACATAGTAGCTGCTGCACACAACGTCACAGTCTAATACTGTTTAAAAGTACAAAGATTTAGAACCCAGACTCCGAGCCTCTTAGAGCTTGTAATTTCACTCTCAGAGGCAAAAACAAACACAAAAGATACTAAAGAACCAAGGAGACACACAAATACACAAAATTAGCTAACAATAAAAACTAAGCCCTTACATGCAGAGGAAGTCTTTCTTTGCACAGTGAAGTACCTGCAGCTAGTTCATTTAGAGCATTGTTTAAGCAGTCAATAAGTGACTGTGAAGGAAAACCAACACATCCTCAGATTGTCAGGAAAGTCTAATGCTTAGATTCATTTTAAAATACTGCCATAACAAAAACCTAACCCAAGAAACAGAATTTATGAGAAATATAATAGATGTGCTAGAATGGTTATAATTTCTTACTAATACAGACTCTGAGTCCTCTCTTTTCTTGCTATCACCATCTCTAGCAGCACCTTTGCTCAGATTTGTAGTTTGGAGCCGATGGACTGTGGCAGCATGAATGAGAACGGCCCCATAGGCTCATGTACTTGAAAGTTCGGTCCTCAGTTGGTAAAACTGTTTGGGGAAGATTAAGAGGTGTGGCCTTGTTGGACAAAGCTTGTAACTGGGTCTGGGCTTAGGCTTTCAAAAGCTCATGACATCCATGCAAGGGGTAGGGGGGGTGAGTATGGGTAGGTGGGGGCGGTGTGTGTGTGTGTGTGTGTGTGTGTGTGTGTGTGTGTGTCTCTGTGTGTGTGTGTGTGTGTGTGTCTACGCACATGCTGGGAAAAGGTGTAAGCTCTCAGCTACTGCTCTAGCATCATGCCTGACTGTCTGCTGCAAGCTCTCACAACAGTAGTCATGGACTCACCCTCTGAAACTGTAGTCCCCAATAAAGTCTTCTACAAGCTTCCTCATTCATGTGTGTTGCCACAGCAACTGAAAAGTAATTAATACATGTACCAAAACAAAAACTGGCAGCACAAACAAAACAAAAACTGACCCTGGAAAGGTCAAATCCTTATAGGAGGGAAAGAAAGGGGGGAGGAAGAAAAGTACAATTCTCAAGGGAAAGACATTTTCTAAAAGCTGGAGTCTTGAAGGCAGGCCGCCTCCTTCCAGCTGGAGCTGTGAGGGGGAGAAAGCACAACGACTGTCACACCTGGAATCATGATAACTTGTTCTAAGAGTCATATTCCTACTGTTTCAAACTACATAAAAATGCACTGTTCTTCCATCCATGTCAAATGCTTAGACTGACATGCTCGTTTTTAATCTGCTTCAACCATTACAACCTGAGTCAACAGACTTCATCTCCTCCTCCTCCCCAACAGGTCCCTCTTCTCCAAGTTATCTGTTGGCAGCTCTGAGATATGGAATCTTAACTCAATTTATGGTCCCTCTTATTTTAATCCATCCAAAACTCCTCTAGGTAAAAGAACTGAAACATTTTAGTCCCTCTTGGGGGAAATGAAATTGATTTTCTTCATTTCCACACAAGAGGGTCCCTGGGTAGCAATACTGTGCCCAGTCACACCATAATAGAAATGTTCTAGTGGTGGAAGGCTTTTGTCAATTCTTCTGAGTTAACCAGGAGTTCACAGAGGTGACTCCTGACCAGGACATTGAGCCAGGGACATTCTCCCCTGCTTGTGTCAGTCACACCTACAAGCTGATGAGGAGAGGCAGGTAAGGTGATGGTGAGAGGGGCCCGATCCACATTCTCCCTGCATTTCAACCATGTCTCTTCCCTTGCCTTCCCTTCTCTCCACACCGGTATGAGCCCACCATGTTCTACCTTTAACCTCTTGACTTAAAGATCATCATTACAGGACATCGTCCAATAGGAAAATGAACAAATCCATATAATTTTCAGGGAACTTCAACCACCTTTTCCAACTCCCAATTTCACAAACTTACATGTTTTGTAGAACTACAGAAAGTTCAGATAATGGTTTCAACTAAAGAAGAACATATACTATTACAGAACAGTAACCTTTCAATACTCTCTCAAACAATCTTACCTGCGGGCTGCCAAACAACAGAATCAGCTGGTACGGAGAAAAAGGAGTGTGAGCATGAACCCTGCTAGCTAAGCTGGCCTTGCGCCTTTGCCGAACCCCACCTGCCATCCCTTGATGCGGACAAATGCACCACACATGCATACACATACTAGCATCCAAAACTCTCCTCCTGACTCTGGCCGCTGCCAGGGAGCCTTCAGAAGGATCTTGCTGGGATGTTAAGGAAACACCACTGTCTAACCACAAACGCCTTCTGTGAGGACAACAGCGAGTGCAAAGAGCATTTAAGTTTTCACATTTCCACAGGAAAACACGCCACAGAACATGCTAGACAGTTTCACACACTAACTATATAACCGCCCCTACAGGTTTTTGATTTTTTTTTTTTTTTTTGGTTGGTTTTGGGGTTTTTGTGTGTTTGTTTGGGTTTTTTTTGGGGGGGGGCAATCTCCTTCTCAAACTCCAAATCTCATTAAATGAAGATAAAAATCAATGCTGGACAGTGATAACACATTGCCTTTAACCCCAGCACTCAGGAGGCAGAAGCAGGAGGATCACTGTGAGTTCCAGGCCAGCCTGGTCTATACAGAGAATTCCAGGACAGGCTCTAAAGTTACACAGAGAAATCCTGTCTCAAAAAACCAAAAAACAAAAAAAAAAGAAAAGAAAAGAAAAGAAAAAGAAAAAAGAAAGAAAGAAAAAAGAAAAAAATCATTTATTAACAATGAGTACTTACCTGCAGACACGAGCTGGAAAATACAACTTTTGCCAAGATCGACACAGGTAATGTGAATGATCGATCACTCTAATCCAATCAAGTTCATCCATGGACACTTCGATAAAATAAGAATAAGACCTATGAAGTAAAAAGAAAAAGCATAGTACAGCAACAATATAAAACCAAAGTAAAATATTAAAAGATACCAAAATATAGAATTCACTAATCACATTAATCACATTAATAGAATTCACTAATCGCATTTATCAAATTCAGGTTGCAATGAAAGCTGTATAAAACACACTACTGTAGCCTTTACCCCAATGTATTGACATTTGCTCTCAGCTTGTCTTTCTGCCTTAATCAAATGATGAGCTACTTAGGAGCAAAGTGAAATGCAAGCTTGTTTGTCTTTGCATTGCCAGGATCCCTTGGCCAGGCCACATCAGCAGATGAATAAAGCCAAGAGGGAGGAAAAGAGAGACAGAACAGGAGCAGAGTGGGGGAGATTAGGACAGAGAAGAGACAAGGACAGAGAAGCGGGCCAGTGCCCTTTCCTCCTGCCATGGCCCCAGGCCTAGGTGCTCTGCCCTCCCTCCTTCCCTTCCTCCCTCCCTCCCTCCCTCCTCAGCAGGGAAAGCCACATGGAAGGATGGAATGGTTATCTCAGCCACCTCTCAGTCCCCTACCATAGCACACTTAAAGCAGCTTGCTGGAAAATAAACAACATGGGGGGAAAAGATAATGCTTGTTTCTATGGGATGTAACTTAGACCTTGCCAGCTAATAACCTGGCTGTAATGAAAACAGCCCAACCCCCTCCCCTTGTCAGCTGCCCTGGACCATTACATGCTGGTCCCACACTGAAAAAAAAAAAAAAAAAAATCTGTATTTCCTTGTCATGAGCCAAATTTAAATTTGAGATGCAGTTATTACTTGTACTGTAATATCAACAGGAACAATCTTGGAAGATTTAGGTGACCATAAATGTCAGCCTGCAGCCCACAGTTGTGGCCAGAAAAGGTCAGCTTATTTTGTGTCGTCCCCTCATTTTCTGCTGTCCCCTCAACTCCCATTCATTTTATCGCTCAGTCTCAAACTGGTTATAACCTTTTATTGAACTTCTCCGGGTTATCAGTAATGTGGGATATAATTTTACAACACATCTTTTTGGCTTGAGATTTTGAATTTTTCACCTTTACTTCAAATGTTACAATTGTTATAAGAAAAAAACACAGTAAAGCGAAGTCCTCTGTGAATGTAATATAGATAGTAAAACAAAGTGGCCTATAAATATTTAACATCATGGAAACAATAAGCAGTGCTTTCAGGTTCAAGCACACTAACCTTTTCCTTTATCATTTTTATTCCAATTTCATTATTAATTAGATGAATGAAATATGTAAAGCCTTTAGAGTGCCTACCATATACAAGTAATGAAAGTGCAATATAAATATTATTACATTGTTATTAACCAGGGATTCTTAGAAATGAGAAATATGAATTAACTCCAACCACTTTGTCAATTATACACCAAATATTCACCAACATACATGTGAGAAAATAATTCTTTTTTTAAAGGATTTATTTTAGAGCATGAGAGAGAGAGAGAGAGAGAGAGAGAGAGAGAGAGAATGTGTGTGTGTGTGTGTGTGTGTGTGTGTGTGTGTGTGTGTGTGTGTGTTCGCATGCACGGGCACGCTCATAAATGCCTGCAGAGGCCAGAAGAGGACACCCAACCTAGAGTTACAGGTGGCTGTGAGCCACCCAATGTGAGTGCTGGAAATCAAACTCTAGCCCTCTTCACAAGAGCAGTGTGTGATGTGAACTACTGAGCCAGCTCTCCAGCCCCTTGAACTATATTCTTAATAAAAACAAAACAGAGCTATCACCTAGGGATCTCAGAAACACACTGCACAGACAAACGCTCTCATCTTAAAAAGATTTGCTCAAACATGGCTCAAATGGCCCCAAAAGCCAACGTGGTCACCAGTGTGCTACCAGGACACTCTCTCTTCCTTCCACGTGAGCCTTATCATTACCACTGAGCCAACAGACCCAGATCCACAAGGGCACAGCAGGTTGCATACGTCTCAGGCCAAAGATAAGTAAAACCAGAGACCATTTAGTTCTGCTCTTCACTGCCCTGGTGCTTCTGCCACACCATGAACAGACCAAAAGCCACAGTGGACTAAATTATGACAGAGTTGCTGGGAGGAAAGCACTCTTGAAGCTGAGAAAATGGGTACACACCATGGCCTGAAGCCCACCCCATTTTTTTCACAATGTGATTTTATTCCAAGAATGCTTAGCTTTGCACAAAAAACACAATTTCTCCAGCCATAAGATGGTAAGTATTTTAAAGGTACTCATAATATCCAATAGTAAGGAATCAAATAAACAATGTTCACTTATATGGAAGGATGCCAGATAGCATTTCAAAGCTAATTCAATGTTTTAAATGTAGCAACTCAAACATGAAATTAAAGCCAGGTGCAGTGGGGCACACACATCTGTAACCCCAGAATTTGGGAAGCTGGCAGAAGGAATCCAAGTTTGAGATCAGGTTAGGGAAATTATCAAGACTCTACCCTCCCAAGAAGAAAAATTAAAAGTAGAGGTAAGTTTTCCATATAACTAATCTATGTTTTGTAAAACTATGTAAAGACTTTGTAATTTGTATGCATGTGTATGAGATAGAAAGATAACAAAGAAACACCGTTGGAGACATACAAATGTTAATAATGGGTAGTGGTGAAATTACCAGCAATTTTTATTTTCTTCGTGCTTTCTGTATTTTCCAAAATAAAACACTTATTCGGCACTTGTATATGAAGAGAATAAAAAGGGGCTAGAAAGATGGCTCAGTGGTTAAGAGCACAGGCTGTTCTTCCAGAGGACCCAAGTTCGATTCCCAGCACACATATGGTGACTCCTAACTGCCTGAAACCCCAGTTGCAGGGGATCCACTGCCTTACTCTTGCCTTTGAGAGCATTGCACACACATGGTGCACATACATACATGCAAGCAGAACACGCATGACACAAAATACCAAAAACTTTACATTTTAACAAGGACATTTTAAAGCAATCTTACTTTTAACTCTTTCCCTAGAACTAACAGAGAGAAATAGCAGAATGATCACAGATATAGGCCACTGAAACCTGCAGAACCAAAGCCAATGTCACTGAGCATCTAACAGCCTTCCCAGATCCTCTCGGCCACCTTCCTTGCTAGAGGGCTGTCCTAGATAGTTTTATGCCAACTTGACACAAGTTAGAATTAACTCAAAGGAGGGAACATCAATTTAGAAAAAAAAAAATGCCTTCATAAAATGCAGTTGTAAGGCATTTTCTTAATCAGTGATTGACAGAGGAGGCCCCAAGCCCACTGGGGTGATGCCATCCCTGGGCAGGTGGTCCCGAGTTCTATAAGAAAGCAGGCTGAGCAAGCCATGAGGAGCAAGCCAGTAAGCTGCACCCTCTATGGCCTCTGCAACAGCTCCTGCCTCCAGGTTCCTGCCCTGTTTGAGTTCCTGTCCTGACTTCCTCTGATTATAAACTATGACGTGGAAGTGTAAGACAAAGAAAGCTTTTCCTCCCCAAGTTGCTCTGACTGTAGTGTTCCATCACAGCAATAGTGACTCTAAGACAGAGGTGCTCTCTTTCTCAGTAACTGCCTCCTTTTGCCAGTAAATAAACAAGTAGTGGGGGAGAGGAACCAAAGCAGGTGACCAAGAAGGTAGGTCCTCTTCAGCAAACACAACATCAGCGTCTCGGGGACAGGAAGGCCTCACCGGCTGTCACGGTCCCACAGGAGGAGGCGTATGTGGTTGATAATGGATGGTTGGCCAAGCTTGATCTCAATGCCAGACCGACAGTCATCATCAATGGGATGCCGGGAAAATCCATGGTCCAAGTCATAATTTTGAGTGTCACCATCCAACAAGGCTGACTTCAGCTCTCCTTTCACAACCTGGGCTCCATACTTCATCGTTGCAATGTTTTCTTCTGGTACTACAATTAGAAACAGAGCAAGCGTAGTGGTTATTTTTCATTATTCTACATTAGTGAGGGAAAAGTGAACCTGAAGCACGCTAGTTGATTCCAGGATTTGATTTTAAGCTGTATAGGCAAATCTATGGTAATGGAGAGAATAGAATGTCCACCAAGATTAAGATAGCATTCAGCACTCAAACTGAATGTCACTAACACATCCACAGTGAGCCAGACACTGAACATTAACAGAAAGTTAATACTACAAACACAAGTAAGTAGGACAAAAACCCTCTCTGCAGAGTTCATTCTGTTAGCAGCTTTAGTTTAATGTCTGCTGAGCGAAAACAGCACATCAGACGGCCTGCACCCACCACCCAGATTGAGGACAGGCCAGACATCTGCTCAAACAAGAGAAGGAAGCTCCAGTGTTAGTCGCCATTAGTCACACACAGACAAGATTGGTCAATTTGCCAAGCTGAGAAAATAAGATTCTACCTTAAAAGAAAATAAACATCCCTTGAGTTTTGTCTTAATGAAAATTCAGAAGCTGTCATCAGAATCGGTGTTGTAGTTATTTGAAGCCCCTCCTCTCTCCAATGAGAGATTACTGTCTGGAACTTTAAAGTCACCTCTACACATCACACTTCACAGGTAAGGAAGGGGTCTCCAGGAACTGATACCCAAAACCAGCACTCTCCATGAAGACCTGCATAAACATGCTTGGCAACTGAGCCATCATTTAAACCAAGGCTGTCCAAGGCTGAACTGGATATGTCACTTGGGAGGAACTACTCCTTCTAAATGTCAATTTCTTAAGAGGACAATGCCTATCCCCGACATGCTCTCTGTAAAGACTTAGAAGATGTTTGTAAAGCATTTAGTATGCTGTTTAAAAAAGTCATTACTATATGACACATATGTAAGAGAGTTATGCATGTTTCCCAGAATGTACATACAACTTGGCTGTATGGTTTGAAGAGAAAAGTGACTTATTATCAGGTGCACAAGGAGAAGACTGTAAGGAAGAGTTCAGCATTGCAAATGTGGTGGAAAATTGGACTTGGGGAAGTTTACAAATGAAGACAGGTAACAGCGGCTCCAGAAGAGGACAACAAATGGAGCTAAAAGCAACTCAGCAAAACAAACAAAGCCACTACAGCAATGCTCAAGAGCTGACTCGGGAATGACTTATACTCTCTATGGCCGATTAGGATCACTATCTGTATTCTTCAGACACTGCTGCAAGCACTTCACAAATAAGAACGCTCAGTCCTCAGAGCACAGCACAGCCCTGCAGCCATCACAGATGAGGCATGGAAGAACAGAAAAGCCCAATAAACTTACTATCCAGCAAGCAGCAGAGCTGCTATCAGACCCAAGCATTCAGGGGCCAGCCCCACTGCTAATTTAAGATTCTGACCCACCTTCATAAGCAAATTCTGATGGAACTGTCACCTACAGCTCTGACAGAGGGAGGGACTTGTGTCAAGCCCCCAAGCTTAGAAACTAGAGCCACCTTGGCTTCCCCTAAGATAAGCTTCCTTCAGTACTAAAATCTATCAAGCTCTGAATAACACGCCGGGTCCAAGAGTCTCTAATGATTACAGCTGAAATCTAAAATAGAAATGAAAGTTTACTGCGAGTCCAAGCCTTCTTTAAGTTTCTTTCAAGAGTACTTGTGCATTTTCTAGCCATTCTCAACAAGTTCATTGCCTGGGAGCATTTTTCACTCCAACATGAAGATCATTTATACAAGTGGAAATTCCCTCGTGGAAGCTAGAATATGCGTACCCTGCTAGATAAAAATACAGTTCCAAAGTATTTTTTCTTCCAAATCTATAGTTAAATGATGAATTTAAAAGGAAAAGTAAGCCTGGAAAAACCTAAATTACAAAAGTATTCAAATCACAAGTACTCCTCTTAGTACCTGTATCTCTCTATCCATGAAGAGCAAAACTCAAAAAAATAGAAGGCAGCAGCAGGGATTGAGCAAGATCATAAATAGCAATCAAAAATACCTTCATAATTTATATTTTATAGCCATTAAGAAAAAAAAGTGAGCTTTAAAAACCCTATAGCTAGGTAAAAAAAACAAACAAAACAAAACAAAACAAATCAATTAGAGCGGGGAAAAGGGGTAGGATGGGGTTATTTCAAGGCCCCTCCTCTCTCCAATTGAGATCAGTGTCTAGGACTATGAAGTCATCTAAACATCAGGCTTCACAGGTAAGGTAGGTGTCCCTGGGTATGGACACCTAAAAATTGGTATTCCAAAAACAGACACCAAGCTGCATAAACACGCTCAGAGAGGAGTCAGAATTCGAACCAAGCTACACAGTGACAAAAGCTGAGGCACCTAGCCAATTACCCAGTGTTTTCTTTTATGTCCTAATCATCATTTGAGACATAGCATTTGAGACAATGAATTATTTGGATACAAAATAGCTCTCTGCCGCCCACTAGACTCTCTTTACCCAATTCTGTAACCTAAGTCATTCTTACACTCCCCCCACCCTTACCAACTTCCTGGATTGTATGGGTTCCCCCCTGCCTCCCACAATACTTCCTAACAACTACGTCATTATGACTTTCCCAAGGCTCCTGTCTTACTTTAACTTTCCCCATTAACCTACTATCTGCAGGCCTTCTCAAGTCTCATTCTCAAACACACAAACTGGAAACAAAAACAAAAAACAAAAAACAAAACAAAACAAAAAAACACCAGACAGAAGAAAGGATAAAGGAGCACTGTTACCTCACCTGCTGCATGAGGTACAAGTGCGGCAGTCTGGTCCCAGCCTAAGCACTTCCTTTCACCTGGAAACTCCAGGAAGTTCAAGGAAGGGCACACAGCTAAACGGGACCACCTCCAATTATTTTAAAGAAACAGGTGTTCAAAGCTGCCTCCTGTGTGCAAGTCACTGTACTAGACTCTGCCCCAGACGTTCAGCAGCTGATAGGACAGGAGAACTTCCAAGGACATTAAACACCTCCACAAATGAGTGTATCCTGGAGAAGGTACAACAGTAAAAGATTCATGTTGTAACTGCCCTTATGTGACAGGGGAGAAAGACTTAAATTCTAGTCTAGAATCAAGGAAATGATTCATTCAGCCATATATTTTTAAAATCTTGATTCAGACACTGTGCCAGGTGCTAGAAGACCATTGGCAAAAAAGAATCCAACTATATCTTAAAGAACTCAATCTAATAAGCACATGTAGACAAACAAACCAAAAATTATATCACAGTTGCAAAGTTCCTTAGTTCAGTGACTAGGAGACACACACACACACACACACACACACACACACACACACACAATTTTCCTCAGCAGTATTAAGAACATATCGACTTTTACTCAATAAACAAATCCTGAGGCTAGAATCTATGATACAGCTGTCTGCTATAAACATGCAGAAAAAGAAATTACTGTTCTCTTTCCCACAGTCTAAAACATGAGATAAACAAAACAAAGTATAACTCAGCCTTAGTAGAAAAAGCATGGACTTTCAGGACAGAAACATCTCCAGAGGTAAGAGAAACTAAATGTTAAGGGGATGGAACAGAGGCAGTTCAAACATCCCAAGGAAAAAGTAATTCCATTAAAAAGTTCATTCCCTTTCCCTAGTGGCACAGACAAACGCTTGTTCTATGTGCATAAACTCAAACTACCTTCTAAAGAAACCAACCTCGTCACTGAGTGAAAACATCTTAACATCTTTGGGATGTTTTCATCATCCTTCTAAAACAGGGTGGAATCTGCAATTTAGTAAAACTCTGGGGTAGGCATCTGAGGGAGAATCTTTCAGAAACCAATGTCATAAACTCACAGCAGCAGCAGCACCGAGACAGGCCCTCTGCATTCCCAATTGGTCTGCAAATGCACACGTACACCATCAACCCTCTGCATTCCCGATTGGTCTGCAAATGCACACGTACAC